CTCCTCCTCCTCCTCCTCCTCCTGCTCCTCCGCCCCCTCTCTCCCCTCCTCCCGCCGCTCCTCCTGCTGCTTCTCGCCTCCATCACGCCTCCGGCTCCAGGCTCCTCTCTGGCGCCCCCCCGCTCCGCAGCGCCCTCCCCCCTGGCCCCCCTCCTCGTAGAAGCTCGCGTGCTCGGCGAGGTGCACGAAGACCTTTACCGCTCGCGCCAGCTCTGGCGCGAGCGGCGCCCCATGGCCAGTCCTGCCTGCCCCGCCGGCGCCGCCAGCCGCCGCGCGGGCCTCGACAGACGATGATGATGCTGTTGATGATGATGATAATGATGATGATAATGGTGATAATGCTGATGATGATGATGATGATGATGATGATGATGATGGTGATGATGATGATGATGATAATGATGATGACGATGCTGATTGTGATGATGATGATGTTGATGATTACGATGATGATAATTTTGATGATGATGATGATGATGATGATGATACGGATGATACTGATGATGATGATGATGATGATGATGACGATGGTGATACTGATGACGACGACGACTGCGCTGATGATCATGACGACGACCACGACGACGCCTGGAAGACGACGACGATGACGATGACGACGATGATTATGCTGATGCTGATGCTGATCATGACGATGATGATGATGATGATGATGATGATGGTGGTGATGATGATGCTGATGATGGTGATGGCGGCGATGGTGATGGTGATGATGATGGTGATGATGCTGATGGTGATGCTGATGGCGATGCTGATGACGACGATGGTGATGCTGATAACGATGGCGATGATAGATGTTGAGCATGACGGTTATGACGATGATGTTGGTTGTTTTGATGATGATGATGATGATGCTGATGATTATGATGATGCTGGACGCTGATGATGGTGCTGATTATTATGATGATGTTGATAGTGGTAATGCACATGATGATGATGCTGCTGCTGATGATGATGATTGTGATGAAGCTGATATTGGGGATGATGATGCTGCTGATGATGATGATGATGATGATGATGATGATGATGATGATGATGATGATGATGATGATGATGATGATGATGATGTCGCGGATCAAGGTGCCAACTATGACAATCATGCCGATACTTATGATGCTGATGATGGCGGTGCTGGTGATGCTGATACGACCACAACTACGACCACGACGACGACGTGAATACGAAGACGATAGGTAATGATGATGATGATGATGATGATGATGATGAGGAGGAGGAGGAGGAGGAGAAGAGGACAAGGAGGATGATGCTGATGCTGATGATGCTGATGATGACGATGACGATGATGAGACATCGATTGTTACGATAACGATGCTGATGACGATGCTGACGAGGATGATGATGCTAAATATGATGCTGATGACAATGCTCCTGTTGCTGATGATGATGTGGGGAGAAGGAGGAGGATTTTGATGATGATGATGATGTTGGTGCTAGTGATGCTGGAGATGATAACGAGGATGGTTGTGATGGTGAGCACCAACGGGAGGGGGTAAGGGTGCACGTAGCCCAGAAAAAGATTCCCAGGGTTCTGCGCCTGGGCTTGCAGCCGCGGGTGCACTCAGTTTGTGACGATCTAGTCGTCGAGGCGCCTAATGAAGACGAGGCCGAGAATGGCCCACAATCACGCCAGCCCTTTGGACGCAGGTGGTTCAGGTTCTTCCAATCCTCTTCTTCCCCCTCGGGGAGGGTTTCCCCCCTCCCTCCAGACCCCCTCCCCTGGGGGCTTCCCCACGCGCTGGAGCTTCCAAAATTGCCCAAGATGGTTCCTAGATGCCCACCGATAGGCCAAGGTAGCCTCCCAAATCGCACCAAACAGCCAACTATGGACTATGGCTCAATGCAGCCTCCAGCACGCTTCCACGAGGCCCCAAAGACCGCCCCCGCGCTACGGAAGCACCTCGAGTCAGTGGCCCCGTTTTAGGCCACGCGACGGTGCTCTTCCATTAGCCAGACCCCGCTACCCTGCGGATTTAGGTGCTGGAGGAGCACTCGTGCCCTGAGGGTACACCCAGGACATCTTTTCGCCTCCTCCTCCTGGCTTCCTCCTCCTCCTCCTCCTCCTCCTCCTCCTCCTCCTCCTTTTGGTCTTCTCATGGCCTCCTGGCTTTCTCCTCCTCCTCTTCCTCCTCTCCTCCTCCTCTCCCCTCCTCTGTACTCCTCCTTCCCCCTCCTCCTCCTCCTATTCCTCCTCACCTCCTCCTCCTCCTCGTGGTCGTCCTCCTCCTCTCCTCCTCCTCCTCCTCCTCCTCCTCCTCCTCCTCCCCTCCCTCTCCGCTTGCTTAAACAAGGGGATGCGGCCACCTCACGCGATGGCCTACACAGGCCGCCAGCGCGGCACGCCACGTGGAGAAGAGAACGCTCACGCGCGACCCTACGCGGGCAACCTGCGCGCGAACGTCCGCGCGGCCGGCCTTTTTGTTGGTCGTCACCCACGCGTGAGAGAAGATATGCGATTCGGGAATGCACTAGCACGGGGGTCTGAGGCTGGCTCAGTCGATCTTGATGGAGCCGTAGATGATCCACACGAAGAAGAAGGAGGCGCTGAAGCCGATGGCTCCCGTCAGCAGCGCGAACGTGTACGAGATCGTGAACATGTAGCCGAAGTACAGCATCGCCCCTACGTAGTGCCCGATCTGCAAACGCGTGCTGTAGTACAGGCACGAGTACAAAAACACGTAGATGGAAGACGATGCGCTGGCGAAGAACGATCGCCACCACCAGTTGTAGTCCTCGTTGGTGAGCTGGAAGTACGTCAGGGTGATTGATATCTCCGCACAGGTCACCACCAAAATGACGATCACGAGCATAAGGAAGCCGAAGAGGTAGTAGAACTGGTGCTGCCAGATGGAGGACATGATGAAGAAGAGCTCCGTGAACACGGCGCCGAAGGGCAGGATGCCGCCCACGAGCGAGGAGAAGAGCCCGCTGATGTACCACGGCTGTGCGGGCACCTGCCGCGGAATCTGGTTGGTGCGCACTGGCAGGCTGATCGGCGCCTTTTGGCGGTGCGCGAAAAGTGGCCGGGTCCGGAAAGTCTGAGCCCAAAAGGTTGCCATCTCCTGGGGGCGTACCCTGACTCCTGATCCGCCCTACTTTGGGCGATTTCGAAAGTAGGGCGGAAATTTCCGCCCTACTTTTGAGGCCCCTTTGAGCGTCGATTTCCGCCCTTGAGGCTCCTTTGGCGTCGATTTCCGACACAATTTTAGGTCGGAAAATCATCCAAAGTACGGCGGATCAGGAGTCAGGGTGAGCCCAAAAGGTTGCCATCTCCCGGGGGCGTATGTCTTACCTCCGCCGCCTTCCGCCGAGCTTCCTCCGCCGGTTTCCACCCGCGGAGCCGCCCTCGTCTCCAATCCGCCCGTCCGCGGCGCACTTCCCCCCCGTGATCCATCGGCGCAGGAGGTCTCGCGTGGGGCTATACACCGCCGTGTGGACGGCGCTGGTATACGGCAGGTTCGTGCCGTGTCGACCCTGGCGCTGGTTCCTGACACCGCGCTGCATCGCTCCACCTGGAACGATCGGCCGCTGCCGCAACGTCCGATCGTTCAGCATTGACCGATTCTGGGTCGCCGGCGGCGTTCAACCTTGAACGCCCGCGCTGGGGTCGCCGCGGGCCGACACGACGCAAACCTACCGTAGGCACCGTGCTAGGCCAGAAGCCCGACGAAGGGCGAGCAGAGGCAGGCGGGCCCCTGCGCGCCTCCGCCCTCTCTTCCGCCGGCGGAGCCGCCCCATTGGAAGAGGAAACAACAAACGCCATGAGCAGTAAACTTTTGGCGCTCCGCGCGGACTTCTCGGACTCGCGCTGGACCCCGCGCCCTGGCGCGTGGAGCGCGCCGGGGGCGGCGCTGGAGGCGCCGCCGGGGGGGGGGGGGGGGCCCAGCGCAGCGCGGATCCAAGAGTCCGCGCGGAGCGCCGCGAGTTTATGTTCATGGCGCTTTTTCTTCGTCGAGCCCTCGAAGATATGGCAACTTCCTTCGGTCCTCGCAGGCGAGGCCCTTTCCGGAGCGCCCCACGCGGGTGGTGCGAAGGGGGGGTCGGCCTTGTACTCGGGCGGGGGGGGGCGCCCCTGAGAAGGGTGCGGCCCCTTCGCTGGGGCTTCAAAACGCGCACTCCCGCACGAGGGGGGCGACGAGGATCGAGGAAGAGGAGGAGGAGGAGGAAGAGGAGGAGGAGGAGGAGGAGGAGGAGGAGCAGGAGGAGGAGGAGGAGGAGGAGGAGGAGCAGGAGGAGGAGGAGGAGGAGGAGGAGCAGGAGGAGGAGAGGTGCCCTCTCGCGGGGACCCCCCGCCCTCGCCCCCGTGCCCGATCACTGCGCGCCGCCGGGCCTTCTTGTAGCCGAAGAAGGCGCCCAGGAAGACCAGCGGCACGGAGATGCCGAACCACAGCACGAGCAGCGCAAACATCGTGGTGAACGGCACCGCGCCCGACGACTTCGTGCCCCAGACCCGCCACCGTGCCCCCCTGGCACGCCAGGGCGCGGTATATCGTGCCGGGCGCTGCCCCTTGCCTCTCTCCCCTCTTCGCCCACCGTCGCCTCCCGGCGCGCGCATCCCCCGTCGCCCCTCCCGGGGCCCTGGGCGGCCACCTGACGATCCGCGGCGCTCTCCAAGCCTGGCGAGATGCCCAAGGTGGCTTCCGAGGCCGCGTGCAGGGAAGGCTTTCAAGATACCAGGGAGGCTTCGAAGACATCCCAAGAGGCCCATAGAGGCGCCGAAAGAGGCCGCAGACACCCCAAATCAGTTTCAATATATAGTCTTCCAGAGTGTCTAACGCCCGACACTCTCCGGATCAAGGTGGCACCCTGGAGAACCCCGAGAGGTCCCCGAGAGAGGCCCCAAGAGAGCCCCGAGAGTCACTGCACAACCTTCCCTCCCTTCCCCTCTCTCCCCCTGTCTCCCTCACCTCCCCCAGTTCCCCAACCTCCCGCACCTCCCGCACCTCCTCCTCCTCCTCCTCCTCCTCCTCCTCCTCCTCCTCCTCCTCCTCCCCCTCTTCCCCCCCTACATGTTACTGACGGCCTTCCCTCCACAAGGGAAGCGAGGTGTTACATTGTACGGCCCACTTGAAGACGGTGGAAAGGAGCGAAGCGCACGGAGTGCTGCGCTGGCACGGTGGCGGAATTTGCCGCAAGCACCTGGATGAACAAGTTGAGGAAGAAAAATATCCCGAACACTGTTCCGGGGTAGACGAAGGCTGTCAGCAGCGTTGTCTTCTTCCAGTCCTCTCCCTTCCACATCTTGTAGAAGCGGGCGGAGACGTACCCCGCGATGATGCCAGCGAAAGTGAACAGCAACAACATGCCCTGAAGGATGGAGCCGCGGTGCACCGGCGACAGGAAACCGGCAGCCGAGAAGACCAGCGTGACACCAGCGCAGACCAGCAGCTGTATGCCCGAACCCACGGACACGGCGAGCGCCTTCGAGTGAGGCGGCTTTCGGAACACGTCCCCGTGCACCAGCTTCCAGCCCGTCTCCTCGGTGGTGTCCTCTGCGGACATGTCGTTGTACTTGGCGATGTCGCGGTGCAAAGTGCGCAGGAGGATCATGGCGACCATGCCAGATAAGAAAAGGACTATCATCAGCGAGTTGACAATCGAGAACCAATGGATCTGGCCCTCGTGCATCTTGAGATACGTGTCCCAGCGAGAGGCCCAGCGCACGCTGCTCGGCGTCCACGTCACGTCGTAGCTGTAGACGATCGAGTCGTGCTGGGCAAGGTCCCAGTGGGGGAAAACGTCGTCCGCATCCTCGCACGTCGCCACGTCGCTGCCAGCGCTCTTGCTGTGGACAAGGCTCTGAGGGAACACCTCGAAACCGACGACGCGGAAGCCCTCAAACTCATCCGGGTCGACGTGATACTGCAGCCCTATCCGAACGTGGTTGTGCACGTAATATCTCCCATCCTTCTTCACGCCCACTGGGAAGCCGTTGGTGTAGGAGAATCCCTCGTCTCCCCGGCGGTAGTACCGCATGGAGCCTGGGAGGTTGTCCACCAGCAAGTTCACCTGGTACTCGTGGTCTATCATGTTCCGGAAACGGTTCTTCTCGTCCACGGTGAGCGCCTTCTCGCACAGGATCGCGCACGAGGCGTTGACATTCATCTTGATGTCGAACATTGAGTTCTCGATTGAGTCGCCGAGCAGGATCTCACCCAAATTCTCAGCCGCCACGTGGATCTCCTTGGGCGCGCAGTAGGGCAGCACGTAGTAGCGGTAGGGCAGCTGCGTCTTCACGCTCGTCAGCTTGTTCACCTCATCGGCGACTCCGCGGAGTGTTTTGTTTTTTTTTTGTCCAAGAGGGTGTGGCCTGCAACCCACGCCTTGGGGGGTCTGGCGATGACCTCGACAGAGATCTCTCAGAGGCCTCCCAGATAGGGTCCGAGCAGATGGGGTCGGAGGATCGCGCCGTGTCGACGATACCTCGCCGATATATCGGCGATGCATCGGCGACGTCGGCGATGTACCGGCGCCATCAGCGTGGAGAAAAACGAGCTCCACATCGAGCTGCATCTCCGATGCATCGGCGACGCGCCGCGATCCTCCGACCCCATCTGCTCGGACCCCATCCAGGAGGCCTAGACCTCCGCCGCGCCCCCGACGAGGGCTCCGCGACTCTTCGGCGCAGGGCGGCGGTGGCCCCCGAGGCCCCGACGGCGCCGACCGCAAACCACTGGCCATCGCTCGGACGTCCATCCCCTGTGCTTTTCCGGTTCCGTGCGTGGTTTTTTCGCCACATGATCCGGGATGCTCCTCGGTGGCCCTCGCCGAGGGAAACGTGCACACGCCCGGGCGATGCCGAGACACCCCCTGCGGCCGCCGCACCTTCAGCTCGACAGGGCTGCCCTCGTGGTACTCCGTGGGCGCCACCCCGGGCAGATAGAAGGCGCGGGCCTGCAGCAGCCCGGCCAGCACCCCCGGCCAGGCGCGCGCGCCTCGGCCGCCGGCGGGTGCCATCCCCTTGCCCGGCCAGGGCTCGGCCGGAGCGGTGCTCCCCTGAGATCCTGGCGCCCCAGCCCCAGACATGATGGCGTCGTAAAAAAATCAGGACGGGCGGTTTTTGGGTATTTTCGCCCTCTAGAGGTCCTCGCCGGGCCTCGGGACCGTCAAAAAACGGCTCAGGACGAAAAACCGGTCTCGGGGAAAGGGTCGGGACTTGCGGGGACGCCGTCCTGAAAAAATCAGGACGTCGCATGTCTGGGGCCTCTGCCCGAGCGGGGTGTTTGCGCCTTGTCGGGCCCCCGGGGCCCTCACAGATCGGGCCGGCTCGAGACGTGGCGCAGAGAGATTGCGCCCAGGGCTCTGGGCGCGATTTCGTCGGGGGCGCGCAGGCATGGAGTGGCGATCCATGGATTGGGCGCGCGGTCGCCAGATCCATGGATCGGGGGAGGTGCCCTCCCCAAATGCGGCCAGTGCAGCCTCGCTCGGCGGCGGAAATCGCGACCCCCCATGAAAACGGGACCCGCCGCTGAGCCACGCCCGCCGAATCCATGTCTGCGATCGCCTGACTTCAAGGCTCGCCTTCTCGCTTTGGCCCGTTCCCCCCGGAGGTGTCCTCGTGCCCCCCCCCCGTCGCGGGCAGAGGGGAGCCGACGCGCGAGCACGGCCCACGGACCCGCCAGAACAGCGCCGAGGCCGAGCCCTGCTCTCGCCTGTCGGCCCCGGCGGAGAGCGCGCGCGCGGGCGGCGCAGCGCGCGGACGAGGAGCGCGCGCGCGCGGCTCCGAGACACTGGCGACCCGCCCCTGGCCTTGCAGTACGGGCCTTTGGGCCGAGGCGGCCGGGGGAAGGGGCAGGGGAGGGAGGGGATGGGGAAAGGACAGGAGGAGGGAGGAGGAGGAGGAGGAGGAGGAGGAGGAGGAGGAGGAGGAGGAGGAGGAGGAGGAGGAGGAGGAGGAGGAGGAGGAGGAGGAGGAGGAGGAGGTGGGGGCAACCAGTGGCCAGTGCGGCCTGGCTGTGGCCACATCGCGCGGGCTATTGCTGAGAGGGAGGTGGCCGGCCTCGCAGCCGGGGGGGCGTCCTGCGCATCGTCCGTTCCTGCCTGCGTCGCCGTGCCCGCTGCAGCTCGCTACAGGCGGAGTCATTGCCGCAGCCCTGCGCTGCTGGAGCAGGCTGGATGGGCAGGAGGACGGTGGAGAGAGGAAAAGGAAGAGGAGGAGAAGGAGGAGGAGGACGAGGAAGAGCAGGAAGAGGAGGAGGAGGAGGAGGAGGAGGACCATGGAACAGGGTGAAATGGACGCAGTGTCCCATGGGCGGCGTGCCGCCTCCTGTAGAAGGCGTCGTCGTCGGCCATCTTCTCGACGACCTCGTCGGCCGTGTCGAAAGCCTCTTCTAACTTCTGGGCCTCCGCAGTGGCAGCGTCCTGCTCGTTGCTCTCGTCAGCTGCGTCGAGGCACCCCGAGGCTCCTCCTGCCTTCTGGGCCTCCGCAGTGGCAGCGTCCAGCTGCTGTTCGAGCGCGGCGCGGCGCCTGGCGGCGGCAGCGAGCTGGTCCTGCTGCGCCTGGCTCTCCACAGCCGCCGCCGCGCATAACAACAATCGCAAGAGCGGCGGCGTTCAGACGCTGGCTAGCGTCGCAGAGGAGAGCCTCCAACTCTACGACGCGAGCTCTCGCAGAGACCTCTGCGATCTCGTCGAGCTTGTTCTTATTCTCGTCGATGGCCGCTGCCACCCATCGCCCCCTACTGTGGACAGCGAATCGGGCGGAGCGGCATCAGTGGCGTCGATGGCGGCGGCCACCTCATCACCCCCTTCCTAGAACTGCGGAGCGGCATCTAGGTCCCGGGCGTCGATGGCCGCAGGCACCTCATCACCCCAAATCGAGGACGGCGGCTCGGGCGGGGCGGCCTCGGGATCCCAGGTGTCCTGCGGGACCATCCCAGTCCAATAAGCGCGGGCCAGGCGCTCACGACGCCGCACGGACGGCTCCGCCTGGCCTCCTTTACTTCCACAGGGGACAGCGTCGTCCAGACAACATCCTGTGTGAGATAGCTTTCCACGAATAGCGCCAACTTGCCATCTCTGCACACGTCGTCGTGCTCAAAGCCGGGGTCCATCAGCACCCCTTCGAAGGGCACGTCGCCGTCGTAGCGCTCGCTCCGGAAGCCAGCGACTGACTGCAGCTCCTCTGTGCCGTGCTCGTTGCCGTCGCCGCGCCCAACGCCGGCAGCCAACTGCACCTCGTCGACGCCGTGCTCGTCGCCGTCGCTGCACACGACCCCGATGCCAGCGCCCGTCGGCACCTCCCCGACGCCGCACTCGGCCCCGCTGCAATCGGGCACGACCGCGCCGAGGAAGCCGCGAGGGACGAAACTGGGCGCCTCCGCCCGCACCACGTTCCCGGCCTCGGCGCGCCGCCCCAGCCGGGGTCCCAGCTCCGCGCGGCGCGGCGCGAAAGCCTCCGCCTCGCGAAGCCTCCTCCTCCTCCTCCTCCTCCTCCTCGACCTCTTCCTCCTCCTCCTCCTCCTCCTCCTCCTCCTCCTCCTCCTCCTCCTCCTCCTCCTCCTCCCCCTCCTCCGAGATGGAGGCGCGGGGGCGCCCGGCGGCGGCGGACCGCGGTGGCCACCGCGCTCTGCGAGTCCACGCCGGCGCGCTGAATCTTGCCTGGCTCCCGCATGGACGCCTGCGCCAAGCGCACGGCGGGCACACCGAAGTTGTGGGGTGCCGCACCGCGCCTGGCAACCTTCACGGCCTCGATCTTCCTGCCGCCGAGTCATGGCCGCCAACACAGGCGCGACGGGCAGCAGCAGCTGCGCCATCTCGGTGTCGCCGAAGACCGCGTGGAGGTCGCGGAGCTCCCTCCTGACGGAGAGCCTCCTCCTTTTCCTCCTCCTCCTCCTCCTCCTACTCCTCGTCCTCGTCCTCGTCCTCGTCCTCGTCCTCGTCCTCCTCCTCCTCCTCCTCCTCCTCCTCCTCCTCCTCCTCCTCGGTGGAACAGCTCTTGAGCTCCGTGGTGAGGCGGGCGGCTGCGGCATCGGCGGCCGCCCGCGCCCCGTGGCCAGCCGCAGTGCGCTCGGCTCGCGAACGGCCTGGCCCGCGAAGGACTGCCAGGGGGGGCGACCCCGCCCGCCCGCCATCGCTCGCTCCAGCAGGTTGGGCTAAGCTTGAGCCCAAATGGCTACGGAAGGAGGAGGAGGAGGAGGAGGAGGAGGAGGAGGAGGAGGAGGAGGCGGAGGAGGAGGAGGAGGAGGAGGAGGAGGAGGTAGGAGGAGGTAGGAGAGAGGAGAGGAGGAGGAGGTAGGAGGAGGTAGGAGGAGGTAGAGGAGGTAGGATGAGGAGGTAGGAGGAGTAGGAGGAGGAGGAGGAGGAGGAGGAGGAGGAGGAGGAGGAGGTAGGAGGAAGTAGGAGGAGGTAGGAGGAGGAGGAGGTAGGAGGAAGTAGGAGGAGGAGGAGGAGGAAGAAGGATGTGATTTATCCCCCCATGGTTTTCCTGCTCCAGCATCTGTATCTTCACGGGACTATGTTTGCCCACAGTGCTGAACAGAGGCATGGTGAGAAGCTGCTCTTTGACGCCCGTCTGGGCTACCCAACTTTTCCACTTCTACATCCCCCTCTTGCTTGCAATGCAGCCGCTTCACCGCAGCAAGCGTACGTACCTCACTTCCCAAGCGAGGCAACAGAGCAAGCGGCTGGCAAGTCCGACGTGGCTTCCCGCCTGGTGGTCGCAGCTGGCTGACCTCCTCTGGGGCCCCGTTGCCACCAGAGTGCGGCATGGACCTCTTGCCCCCCCCCCCCTGAGGAAGAAGAGGCCAGGAGGAGGATGCCAGGATGATGGGGATGAGGAGGAAGAGGATGGGGATGAGGATGAGGATGAGGAGGAGGAGGAGGAGAATGCGGAGGAGGAGGATGCGAGGGGGAGGAGGAGGAGGATAACTAGGATAAGGATTAGTAGGGGTAGGAGAAGGAAAAGGAGGAGGAGGATACTAGGATAAGGATTAGTAAAAGAAGGAGGAAGAGGAGGAGAAGGAAAAGGAGGAGGATGCCAGGAGAAGGGTTCGGAGGAGGAGGAGGAGGGAGGAGGAGAAGGAGGAGGAGGATGCCAGGAGGAGGAGGAGGAGGAGGAGGAGGAGGAGGAGGAGGAGGAGCAGGATGTTAGGACGAGAAGGAGGAAGAGGAGGAGGAATACCAGGAGGATGAGGAAGAGGAGGAGGAAGAGGAGGCGGATGAGGAGGAGGAGGAGGAGGCTGGGATACGGATGATGATACTGATGATGATGTTGCTGCTGATGATGATGATGCTGCTGACGCTGATGTTGATGCTGATGATGATGCTGATGCTGATGATGATGTTGATGATGATGATGCTGATGGTGAGGATGATGCTGCTGCTGATGATGATGCTGATGATGATGATGATGAGGATGATGAGGATGATGAGGATGAGGATGAGGATGATGATGATGATGATGATGGTGCTGATGATGCTGATGACGATTATGATACTGATGATGCTGATGATGACGATGATGAAAATGAAGATGCTGGTGCTGATGATGACGCTGATGATGATGCTGGTGAAGAGGAGGAGGCAGAGAAGGAGGAGTAGGAGGAGCATGAACAGGAGGAGGAGGAGGATGCTATGATTAGGATGCTGATGATCATGATGCTGCTGCTGATGATGATGACGCGGAGAAGGAGGAGGAAGAGGAGGAGGAGGATAATGCTAGGAGGAGGAGGTATGGTATGGTATGGGTTTGCGCTAAACGCGGGGTCAAGCCCTAAATCAGAATGGCTCGGCGTCGGACTCGCCCTCATCGGGGCTGTCCGCGCTCCGCTGCAGGGCCGATCGGCCGAGGTCTCGGACCAGTTCGAGCTCCCCCTCCCACAGCCCAAACGCCCTCAGAACCTCGGCCCGCCCCCCAAGATCAGCCCTTCCCCATCCGCCGCTAGCCCCGACGCTTGGGGCCGAGGGCTGCGGCTCTGGGGGCAGGCTCGGCTCGGCCTCGGCTAGGCTCGAGCGGGTCGCTGGCAGCACTCCGTGCGGCCTCCCGACCTTCAAAAAGCGCACATTGGCGCGGTACGAGGGGAATTCTCCTTTCTTGATCCTTCGCAGCTGGTCCACACCACCAGCTTTGGCCTTCTCGGGGCACCACCCCGAGAGACCCGTAGTTAGCTTGCCGTCCGAGGCTACCGTGCCACAGCGGCAGCAGAAGACGACCGAGGAAACGTGGGCGGTGCGGCTGAGCACGTCTGCCTCCAGCAGGTTGTGGCCTCGCCACCAAAAAGTGGCGTCGGCATACTCTTCCCACCCGCCGCCCACCCCGTAGCCAACGAGCGACGACGACCCCGCTTCCCCACCACTGCTGCTAGCCTGGGGCACAGGCTCGGGGTCCTCTGGGGCCTCAGGGTCTTCCACGGCAGCGGAGCCCCGAGACTTCCAGTGCGCTTCCATCAAGTCCTCATGGTCCTGGCCATCGGACTCAACGTGCACACAAGCCGCCCATCGGGCGGATTCTTGGGCTAAAAACTTAAAACCTTGCCACAACTGATACTGCTCCACGCCCACGCCGTGCTCCGCAGCACCTAGCTTAGCAAACCTGTCGGCGTGGGCGTTCCCTCTGAACTCCCACTCCGTGGTAGCACCCGCATCTACCTGGGCCCTGGTGCAATGGGCCTTGGTTTTAAAAACTTGGAAGTCCCCTTCCGAGAACGCTCCCCAGAACGGACTCCAGAGCTGGGCCCGACCACAACTGCTTTGGGATCCCGCGCCTTCGCCGCCACGGAGAGTCCCAACAGTGCCTGCACAGTCTATAAAGACATCGGAGGGCGCC